ATCATAGAAAGTCAAGCTGTAGAATAGCCCCCTAAAGAGTATTAGGTGATAGACTTAAGGATTATATGCATACCCCTACTCTATTGCACCAGATGTCCATGAATATCCTTTTTATGATATACATCAACAGATTATGATAAAAGATGTTAGTATAATTTTAATTAAAATGTAACTTCTGTAATGTCCTTTGTAACCAGTCAAACAATGAAAAATAATGAATGCTAACATTCAATTAAGCTTCAAAATTGATACACTTCTTTATCTAAAATTCTAGAATTTCAGCAGACTCATAATTCACCTATAAAGAATTCTATTCTGAGGAAGAAAATCCAACCATAGCTTACATTTATGAATTTCTAAAGTTATTCTTTCAATACTATATGCAGCAGAGGTACTTTAGATGCAATTTTTGAAAGTTATACACTACAGTTGAACTGTTAATTTGTAAGTACAGATATGCATGTAAGTGAAGTACGTACCAATGGTAGGAATAGTAGTAACGATCTCGCCCAGCTTGAGCTTGTACAATATGGTGGTCTTACCAGCTGCATCAAGTCCAACCATGAGAATTCGCATTTCTTTCTTGGCGAAAAGCCGGCTGAAAAGCTTGGTGAATGTCAGCCCCATTTCTCCTTGTTGTTGGTGATCCCTATGTTAAAAGAGAACTAAATGATATAATAAAATATATTAACAAATATATAATATGAGTCACAAATCAAGTAATGAAATAGTATGTACTCTCGTCTCCTCAATTTATATCACAACTGTCTATTTTGGAATGTTTAAAATTTCCAGAACTAGTGTGTGTCTTGTATAAAGGAAAACACTTTCATGATAGTCATTATCTGATTTTTTTTGTGTTACAGAAAGTTATCTTTTATCAAAAGTGTCTCAACCCTTACTTTATATTACTTTTTTCAATAACAATTAGACATGATTATCAACCTTTAACACTCAAAAAATTCATCAAACAGTCAATGCAGAACACCTTCAAATCCATTAAGCTATTTAAACTTTCAATTTTGATATGATGTTCTTCAATGAAACTAAATCTTCGACTATCATTATAATATTTTTCTTCCATTATCACTGACATAATATATAACTCAATACAACATCTTAAACTCAACTCCCTTTAAAATGTCCTCATATAAAACGGAATGAAAGTATTGATTTGTTGCAAAATCCAGCGTATCATGAAATGGATCTGAATGAGAAAGCAATTTTTCAGAAATCAAAATTTAAATTCACAATTCAAAGCTCTCTATGAAAAAATTCAAATTCAAAATTCAAAGTTAATACGATTTGATCTTCAGATCATAACACAACAACAAATTCAGGTCATAAATAAAACAAAAAAAAATGTGATGAATAACCTCAAATCAAATGCAAATCACCGAAAAAGATAAATGTATCCCAAAAAATTCAACCAAAAAAAAAAGGAAAATTTTGATTTTAACAATATGATTGCTGAATTATAGATAAGAATCATGAAAAAAAACTATCTCGAATCAAGAAAATTAATCTGAAAACTGATTTTTTTTTTTTTTTTTTAAAACACAAACTCTAATTAGATAAGTTTTATAATTTGAATTTATAAATGATAAAACGTAGAGATGTTACCTGAAAGATGATTATGGAAGAGGGATCTAATGAAGAAAGAACGAGAGAGTGAAGCCTGAGATTAACGCCAAATTTGGAGAGGGTAATAAGAAAAGGAAGAGAGGAAATAAATAAAGGGAATGAGATGTTTGTGATGCACTAAATTGACATTTCATTTTGTTACAATAACGGGAAATGCCCTTACATTCTGTTATCAACTTTCTTTGGCCCAAATTACCCAAACTCACAGCCTATAAGTTTTATTTACGTACTATTTTTAAAAAAAATAAAATTGTAAATGTAAATATTATTTGAAAGGGTCTAAATCATCTAATTAAACTGGTTATATTTTACGTAATTAAACTCTAATTTTATTTGTTATGAGTTCTCTTTTTAAGAGAAGACAAGTTAAAAATCGTTGCAAGTTTCTTCATTATTTCTTAACTCTTCTTCTTAGCTTATTTTTGTGGAAATTCAGAGACTAGAATAGGAAAACTTTTTCTTGCCTTTCATTCATTTATCAATGATGTATATATACAAAATATCTAGAAGAAGAAAACAAAATAACTCATATACGTGTATGAATTCTAATTGGCTAGCACTACACTACAAAAATATACAGTTGAGTGTACTATTTCGTACAAGAAATACACAAATCCGTTACATAGGAATCTGCATATTTCTTGCCTAATTTTCATCCATTTATCCTCATTTATTTGTCCAAATCATCTCTCAAATAAGGCTGTCCAGAATTGAATTTTGGGCCTTCATTTGTTGTTGGGCTGAGACATTAACTTTTGGTTGAAAGTTTTGCATTTGGACCAGCTGAGATATAGACTCAATATTGTCTCTGAATTTCGTTTGATTGAGAAGCTTCCCAGTAGTCAGAACTTGAGCTTTCTTAGCTTCTTTCTCCTCTTCACTGACTTTCTTGATTTCAATTCCAACATCCCCCTCAAGTTGGAGGGGAGTGAAGCGATCCCCAACTTGCCGAGAATTGAACGATGAGAGGGTCCTAATAAAGGTTTGGTGAAGAGATCAGCAAGCTGAGAGGAAGAGGGTACAAATTGAAGAGATATCAACCCCGAAAGAAATTGTTGCCTAACAAAATGGCAATCAATTTCTACGTGTTTGGTTCTTTCGTGAAAAACTGGATTGCAGGCAATGTGAATGGCGACCTGGCTATCAGAGTGAAGGGGAATCGAAACTGAGGGAGAGGCTCCAAGGTCTGTGGAGTGTGAGTACATGAAGTTTGATGAATGATTCCTTGTGATGCAAAAAATTCAGATGATAGATTGCTTCCACCCAATTCTAGTGCATTATCAAATCTAATCATCTTAACCTTAATATTAAACTGTCTTTCAATCATCACAAGAAAATACTTTAGGATAGTGAAAGCATTGCCCTTTGTTTTCAAAAGACAAGTCCAGGTTGATCTACTATAGTCATCCACTATAGTTAAAAAATATTTGTATCCATCGTGTGAAGGGGTTTTGTATGGACACCAAGTGTCAATATGTATCAATTCAAAGATCTTCTTAGTACTAATCTCACTAGACTGGAAAGGTAATTTTTTTTGTCTAGCTAAATGACAGATATTGCAATCAGAATGAAAATGAAGAAGAGAAACAAGAGTTGAACAAACATTTTTCATTAATTGAAATGGCATATGCCCTAATCTAAGGTGTCATAGCCTTACATCAGAACTACTTTTTATAGGAATGGGAAAAGTACTAGAAATAGAAAGACAACTAGAATTCTCTTGTTCAGATAATTTAACTGCTCTGCCATCGAAACTCTTAAGATATTGGAAGCTTGACTCTAAGAGATATAGTTTTGTCCTCACTTCACCAAATTCCAGAGGCCTCTTCATTGAAGGGCCCTGCAGAAAACAACTAAAAGAAGAAAAAATGAGTAAACAACTTAGAGCCTGTTTGGATGGGCTTTTAAGCTGGTCAAACTGGCTTAAAAGCCAGTTTTTGACTTATTAGAGTGTTTGGCAATTATCAAAGTGACTTATTTTAAGTCAAAAATGACTTATTTTAAGCCAAAAGCTAAAAGCTAGGGGAGGGGAGCTTCTTTTTTTTTTTAACTTAAAAGCCCTTTTATGTTGACCAAGTATATTACCTTTTTGCCCTTAATTCTTTTATACAATTTCCAAATTGCCCATATTGAATTATTATTATTATTATTATTATTATTATTATTATTATTATTATTATTATTATTATTATTATTATTATTATTATTATTATTATTATATTATTATTATTATTATTATAATTATTATTACTATTACTATTATTATTATTATTATTATGTTTATTATTATTATAATAATAATAATTATAATTCTTATAATTATTATTATTATATTATTATTATTATAATTATTATTACTATTACTATTATTATTATTATTATTACTATTACTATTACTATTATTATTATTATTATTATTATTATTATTACTATTACTATTACTATTATTATTATTATTATTATTATTTTATTATTATTATGTTTATTATTATTATTATTACTATTACTATTATTATTTTATTATTATTATTATTATTTTATTATTATTATTATTATTTTATTATTATTACTATTACTATTATTATTATTATTATTATTTTATTATTATTATTATTATTATTATTATTATTATTATTATTATTATTATTATTTCTGAAATATGAATTTATATTCCTCTTATAAGGTGGTAAAGAAATATGTGAATGATAGAAAAATATTATTACTTATGGATGTAAAACATAAATTAATTTTGTTTTAATTTTTTTTTTAAGTATAAAAACCTTAAATTAATCAACTTTTTATCATGTTAACAGCTTAAAGGGTATTTCAGACATTTTGATAAAAAAAAATGTTTACCAGCACTTATTTGCCAAACACATCAACAACTTTTTTTTCAACTGCAGCACTTTTATCCAAACACATAACTACTTATTTTAAAAATAAGTTCCAGCACTTTAAAAAGTTACTTTTTAAAAGTTACTTTTTTTAAGTCAATCCAAACGGGCTCTTAATTGTTTGCACAACTTATAGACTGAAATGAGGTTATATTCGAAACAAGGAATAAACAATACATCATTTAAGATGAGTTTAGGATGCAAAGAGATACTTCCATATTGAGTGACCTTGACCTTATAAGAATTAGGAAGATCAACAAATATAGGAGACTCAAGAGTTCTAAGTTCTAAGAAAATCCTTGAATCAAAACACATGTGTTGTGTAGCACCTGAATCTAGTATCCAGGTTTGGTGTTTGAACTGGACAAATTTATGAGGTGATTTGAAAACATTACTAGCACAGGTCACTGCATTAGCTGCTGTATTATATGGTGATTCTTCTGGTTGATTCATTTGCACATTCTAAAGCATCTGAATGAGTTGTGAGCATTGATCTTTGGTGAAATGTTTCCCCTGCCCTTCTCCATCAAAATGCTCTCCATTTTGTTCTTGTGTTCCTTCCATGAAGACGACATTGTTCTTCACATTTCCCAGGAATCTCTTAGCTTTGGTAAACTTGAAGTCACTAGGAAAGCCTATTATCCTATAGCATTTATCCACAGAATGCCCAGGTTTTTTACAGTTTGAGCACACCAAATTAGTTTTCTTCTGTTTGGCTTCATAATATCCAGACTTCTGACCAAGAGTGGTCTGATTAGTGGCCAAGAAGAAAGTAGAGTTCCCTAGATAGTGTGAGCTCATATACACTTCCCTCTACTTCTCATCTTGCATTAAGAGTGAGTAAGCATGATTCACAAAGGGTAATGGTGAGAGCATCAGAATATTGCTTTTCCCAGCTGCATAGACATCATTTAAACCCATTAGAAACTGAATCAATCTTTCATCTTGAAGAGACTTACCTATTTTTGCTTTTCCACCACACTGGCAGTCACATGTGCAGTTGACAGAAGTGCTTAGAGCATCAAGCTCATCCCACAACCTCTTGATTTTTGTGAAATACCCAGCAATATCATTTGATCCCTGCACTAAATCACTCAACTCTTTTTGTATTTGATAGAGTTGAGCACTATTACTTTGCCCAAACCTGTTCTCAAATTCCAGATCTTTGGTTGTTTTGGAGTTGATGACACTGGCAACTATCTCCTTTGAGAGAGAGAGTTGAGCAACCATGACAACACCATGTCATTGCACCTGCTCCATAGTTTGAAATCAGCTGAAGTAGGAGCTAGTTCCTTTTGAGTACCATCAATGAACCCAATCTTATTTTTTGCTGAAAGGGCTATCAAGATTGACCTCTTCCATCCCCATATTCCTTTCCATTAAAGGGTGAGTTGACAAGATTCATTCCTGGGGAATCAGAAGCATGAAGAAAGAAAGGATGAGTGTGATCTGATAGAGGGTTTGAGGTATTTCCAGTTATTTTAGTGTTATCAGGAGTGACTACAGTTCCTATCACCAATGTTGGATAGTAAAAAAGGAGAATAGTGAGAAAAATGGAAAAGAAGAAAAGCTAACAGAGAAAGAGGATCTCAGATTTGCTCTGATACCATGTGGAAATTCAGAGACTAGAATAGGAAAAAAATTTCTTGCCTTTCATTCATTTATCAATGATGTATATATACAAAATATCTAGAAGAAGAAAACAAAATAACTCCTATACGTGTATGAATTCTAATTGGCTATCACTACACTACAAAAATATACAACTGTGTGTACTATTTCGTACAAGAAATACACAAATCCGTTACATAGGAATCTGCATATTTCTTGCTCAATTTTCATCCATTTGTCCTCATTTATTTGTCCAAATCATCTCTCAAATAAGGCTGTCCAGAATTGAATTTTGGCCTTCATTTGTTGTTGGGCTGAGACATTAACTTTTGGTTGAAAGTTTTGCATTTGGACCAGCTGAGATATAGACCCAATATTGTCTTTGAATTTCGTTTGATTGAGAAGCTTCCCAGTAGTCAGAACTTGAGCTTTCTTAGCTTCTTTCTCCTCTTCACTGACTTTCTTAATTTCAATTCCAACAATTTTCTTCACCTTTAACTGCAGTAAATTTTCTTCTTTATCATTGATACTTAACATACTTTTGCTGCTTTGAATATTTTTCAGTAAATTTTAGGATTTTTTTTGTTGGGTCATTTTTTGTTCTGCTATGTATTGTAGCTTAACTTTAATTGTGTTCTTCTTGTTATTTTTAGTGTTTTATAACATTTTTTATCATGCCTTTTCAGTATACTTCTTTCTTTTGGTAATGCAATATAATGATTTGATTCTTCTTCAGTAAAGTTTAGGAATTTCATAGTGTGCCTATTTTTGTTGTTCGAATATATTATAGAAAGACTGGATTTTTTTCTTCAAGTAAATTTTAGGACGATTTATTGTGTATTTTTTATCCTCAATTTTGTTCATTCTTCAATAATTTTTTGAATTTCTTTCTACGTTTTTTTGTTTTTCTTTCTATAAATATACAATGTGTATACTCTTCTATTATTTATTAGTACTAGGTGTATGTACATTATAATCTACTGATTTTTTTAATGTTTATGCATCTCAAAATGGTCTATCACGTTGATAGAAAAGTTGGATAAAAGAAATAAGATGGATATAGTATCTATGATGTTAGGTATTGTATCGCATTTGAACCGGAATGACCAACCGATTATGCCAATTGATATATACTCTAGTAAACTACTAGTTTACTTTTGCATGAGATTCATTCATCATGTCCATATTTTTATACAACAAACAAGAAAAAGACGGTAACATTTGAAGTAAACATTCAAAACTCATTTTGATTGTAGTAATCTGAAGATATTTAATCTTCCAATAATTTATAGTCTCAATATAATAATTATTTTTCTTTTCAATTCCTCTAAAACATAAAAAGTTTCTTTTGAGACTGACTATATCCCCAATATTATGAACTATTTCAGTTCTTTGAATATTAACAAATTAGCAATTTCGGAGCTCTCAATTAATTTTGTATACTACAATAAATTTTACAACACCATCCGTATGGTGACCATCTCCTTCAAGGAGAAAATTATTCTTAATCTCATGGTAAAAATTATTAAAGAAAGACTTGTTTCTTGACAACCAATAACAATTTTGTGTTATCAACAATAATATTTATTTTGATCATAGCAACAATCTTTATAGGAAATAATTATTTCTTTCTTTTGTCCTTCAATAGTTCATGATAAAACATACCACAATATTTATGATGTACTCAAAGTATATGACCAAATGATCATTTATGTCAAAAAAATTATTTTCAATATCTCAAACCTTCTGAAGAGGTGACCAAATGATCATTTATCCAACCATACATAATATGAACACAAGTCACATTCTCTTCAAGAAATGGACCATAACCATTTGTACATATTCCATAAGTTTTTATTAGAAATTAAACTAATTGTCATGCTTTGACATTATCAAATTTATTTGACCCACTTCAACATCATTTTAAAAGGTCAACTGTATTAAATGTACTACCTCTTGTATTTCTTTATTATGATGGAGGATTAACAGAACTTTTCAAACTGGATTGTACCAACAACAATGCGCCCAATAACCTTTCATACTACTTTGATGACCAACAATTACCTTCACATTTGAAGTACCATCTTAAGAACCCATAATGTTCTTCCTTTTAATTACCACAGTGATGACCATTAACATTTTACCACTCATATTCATACATTCAATCACTTGTCATTTTTAGACATATTATGCTATGCTACCACATTCACATAAGAGAATGGAGCAAATCAATTGGACAGATTTCGTGACTTTAATCAAAAACATATTATTTTGTGTTAGTCATCACCATATCATCACTATGATGCATTAGGAGTTAAACTTATTGTCTTACCCATATCAAGAAGTCTTAGGCCATAAATTAATGAGACTTGAACCCAACATCTTATTTTTACAATGCATCATAATTATAGTCCGATGTCTTACCCTCTTGATGTCATAGAACTTTACTCCATGGACTTTCCCTCAGCTAATGGCATCACATGCCAAAGTGAAATAAAACTCACATTTGAGTCCTGTAAATAAATATCATTTAAATTGGAGCCTTGCACTTGTCATTTAGATTGAGTGCCAAAAATTAACATGGACTCTTATGACTGATCAACTTATCCGGAGTAAAGACAATGTCCATTCTGACTTGTATCATTAGCAACTAAGATAATAAGATTATAAAAATGATACCATGGAAGCAGTAGTATTTATTTGTTAAAACATATTTGCAATAGATGTTAAGGGGACTTTACCTTTCATGAGTGTTATCCATTAAATGTACTATAAGTCACATTTCATAGTGTAGTTAGAATTTATACTATTTTTGGTAATTGAATAAACAGAAATATAAATCATTTATACTCTGAAATGATTTTAATCCTTGATTCATGTCATTATATAATTTGATTTTAAAAAATAATTAGATAGACAAAAGTAAATAGACAAAAGCATAATTAATTGATATAATCGACTATTGAAGTTCATGACATTAATTATGGAAGAAGCTTTTCTTATTCTTTCAAGTATTCTCCTAATCTTCAAGTGTATCCCATATGAACTCTAATACATTTATTTATAGTATTAATTACATAGAGACATACAATAGGTTAGTCATAAACATGACATTAATCATAAAAGTTGTGGAGACATTTACCATGTAAGTTATGGAGAAATATCAAAGGGAAATGTTATAGAGGTGTGGAAATTACTAAACATTATGGTAAAGTTATGGACATCCACATAAATATATTTACAACAAAAAATTATAAGTTTTATTTAATTATTGCGACGTGCAATACATTCAATATGGTGCAGTAAAATATTCATGATTATTTTTTAAAAATAATTAAATACATATAATATTACAATATTGATCCTTCCTTGAGAATCATCAATAATGTATTTGACTTTACAAATTCCCAATAAATGCGAATAGCCATTAGACTACAAAATCCAAAAAAAACTCATGTCCTCCAATTGTTGTTTTATGTTTGTCAAGAAATGTGAGAATTGCTTTCATTCTGACCTAAAATTGATCAGAATGGAAGCTTTTAGAGTTTCTTCAAACCCATCCTATGAGATGTTACCTACATCCTTCCAAAATTCACCCCCTTCACAATCAACACATCATCATCACTTTGATACTGAATTGGAGAACCTACATGTTGTTCAAAAAATTGGATCATTATTGTTTGGTTTTGGTGTAATGATCCTTCTTTTATTTGGTATCTTTGGAATTATTGGTTTTGGTATGACAAGTTCAGCTAATTACATGAACAACCAAATCATTGTAAAACATGGAATTGATTTTGATTCCATGACTATATACAATTTACAACCTTCACCTAATTCAACGATCGTAGCTGGATGCAATGTGACATTCAAGGTGACAAACAAGAGAGACGTTGAATATTTCTACGATAAAGGAATGATATGGGTATTTTTTGATGAGAAAATTTTATGGACGTTACCTACTAGAGAATTTTATCAAGCAGTTAGCGAGAAAACGTTTTTGAACGTATCAGCAGCCCCTGCTACAATTGAGACGGATATATATGTTCCACGGGCACTTGTTAGCAGTCAGAAAATGCATCGATCTGAGATATTCAAGATTAGGTTTGACATATTTTATCGCGGAGGAGTTGGACATAATGGGTTTAATTTGGGTGGACTAAAGTATTTTTGCGATGTTAATATGACTTTTCACGATCAAAATACTCTTGTGAGCGGACCAAACAAATGTGTTGGCAAATTTGAGGATTTCTCTACTTGTTCTTCTTTATTCTTTTGTACGTCCATAAAATTTTGACATCATCATTAGTTTTTTAGTATATATACATACCTTCTTGATCCAATATGTATTCTTCATAGAGGTAGTAATTAATTAATAATGGGTCTATTTTTCCTGCATTTCCTAGGTTTTGATTTTTAGTTGTCTTTGTTTTTGTTCCATTTTCTGAAAAGGATTTTTAAAGTAGGGATGTTTTCATGAAACAAATTCTACAAAATGTAGATGTTTCCTACGTTATTCATAATATGTTAAAGTGATCGATAATATAATTTTATAGTATCATTTTATTTATAAAGAACATAAGCCAGATGAAGAAACACAAAAAATATAAAATATAGAA